ACTTCATTTATCTCTAGGAATACACACATACCTACGACGAATTAGAGTTATGTATTTACAACGTGCCTAATTTTATTGAAATAATTCGTAAATACAATCAAATACAATAAAAAATGCTAGATATAATAAGTTGTATTAAATTTAATAACCTCAACTTTGTTACTTTTATGAATTAGCCTAAATCTGCCTTTTTTGAGTCCATGCATCTGTGGTCTTCCATTGTACATGTTATTCTGGGACACCCTGTATATTTGATCGACTAAACGAAAGTCGCAAACTTCAGTTACATCTGGAATTCAAAATTTTACACACTATATTTGGATAGCGTTGAAAACAGAAGTTGAAGCTATATGTCGTATTTATCGTATTTAAATTGTTTATGTAACCTTTTTTCTAATTATACCCTCTTTTTTATACGTGTATATTTGGTTGTAGAATATTTTAATTTATTTAGATGACTGTGTTGTTTGTCTCTTGTTTTTGCATGAAATTTTATAAATAGTACGAATATAATTGCTTTACTAATTAGTACACTGGATCTGGTAGACATAAAGAACCCGTTGTCACGTTTAAATCACAAAAATTTAGGCTTTCCAGTTTTCCTAAATGCCTACAATCGTTTCTTTTTTGAGAAATTAATAGACTAAAGAAGTTTTGAAAATTTTACAGATATTTATGAAAAACTAAAGATACCATGAAAAGCTCGTCGATGGATTTTTTTTTGTGGGAATTTTAATTGACTTTGAATAACATATACGAGAAGTGATGCTAATATCGAACCTATGGATATTCCTTTCAATTTTTTCCATATTCCTTCTCTGGTACCCGTTTTATGGACATGATCAGTAAATAAACGTAGAACTACTAAAGTTTCCTAGTCGCAATTTATATTTTTCGCAATATTAAAGTGTTCAGCACCGAGTTTTACCGCGTGGAGTTGGTACGTAACGAGATATTTAAATAATCCCGAGAAGTAAGATATTGCCTGTGGCTTTACTTCTTTCAAACAACTTTTACTCGCTGTGCGGTTGGAAGTTTTTAATCTGGAGACACCGACGTACATCTTACTTGAAAAAGTCCATTAGCTTGTCGTTAATAATTAAGAACGCTTCCTGAAAATCATTTGTCGACTTATTTTCTCTTACCGATTTGTCCAACAAATTATTTTTATATATGTATGAAAAATATTGTAAGTGCCTTCACCACCAATCACATCCCGTGAAACAGAATGTTGTGCTTTAATGAATCTTGATCTTATTGTTTTAATTTTACCGAATTTTAAATTTTTTAGTGAATTTTAGTTAGAACATCGCACAAAAACTTGTATGTACTCTCGTACCTATTCCTTTGTGTGTATTCTTAATTGGTGTTGTGTTCCTTTGCAAATCGGTAGTACCATTGAAGCTTTTAACAACATACGTCTTATGAATGAGCTCCACTTTTCATAAAGACCTTGATTTATAAACATTATTGGTGATATGTCAAACTATATACTATATTCTAACACAATATAATGTTGAAGACTTTTTGTTACGATATTATAGAATGTTACATACAATTTTAGACACTTACTATGGTATTTGATATGATGCTCTAAGTACATCGAACAATAACGTATATTGAAAGTTTATATTGCCACTGGTCTGTTCTATTTACAATGGGAGGTACAATGGAGAAAAATAATAGTCGACCGCACACTGTTCCGCAAGCGAGAAGGATGCGAGAAATAAACTTCAAACGTCCCCTTCAAAGTTTCTATTACCGCATCTTATAATTCGTAAGAGAGGCAAAGCTTCAATCTGAAAATGTATATGAAAAGATCGGTGGGAAAAAAAACATGGAACGTGATCGTTTCTCATTGTTTTAATAATTTTTTTCAAGAGATTTGCTTGAAATATTGAATATGTATACGTACGTATTCCTTAGAACTAGAATTCTGGCGGCTGTAAATACAAATTAAAAAATGTTTAACAAATAATATTGTGGAACTACTCTGGGGACTAATGCACACTAAAAGGACTTATTAGTTCTCGTCACTAACCCATTGATAAGACGACTGACCGACAACTGAACTTACTTTTTTGATCTACAAATGCTGGATGAGATATTTCAAAAAATTTTTCATCTGAAATGGTTATTGCTGCTCAGTGTCTGGACCTTTAGTCTAGGCAACTGGCAAAGAACGACCTGCTAATCTACAGGTACTAGGAAAGTAAAATCAGTTGTAAATCCGGTATATGTCGGGTGGTTCTCCTTCTACATAGCTTTTACTAGACACTGGGAGTTTACTTAATGCTGGTCAGAGCGTTAGTCCGCAGAGTAGTGGTTCCTCAAAATATTATTGGTTAAAATTTTATTTTAACTACTGTGGTACCTGTAAATTAGCAGATGGTTTTCTATTGGTTTGGCTGTATTGAGGGCCTAAACATTATGTAGCAACGACTATTTAAGATATAATACACTGTTATATCTCACCCATACTCACAACATGGCTGTAGCTACCTCCTTAAATAGTTAGATTTTTCGCGGTTGGTTTACCTATGGCATATTGATCATTTCGAAACTAATGTATCTAGTGATTCTACCGACGAATAATCTTACACTTGTTTACTAGCTGTTGCAGGTGTAAATCTTTGTTGGTTAGGGCATTAGTTCGCGGAGTAGTTGTTTCCCAGAACATTTGTTAAGACTTTGTTTCGCGGGGTGCAACACTGGTCTTACTTTCATATTATTTGCAGATTAACAGGTCGCTCTCTGCCAGTACATAATTGACAATGTTAATATCCTAGTTCTCGTAACGTTAAATTATTCTACTAAAGTTATCTCTGGCTTACATCACATATAGTCTAGGCGATAGAGCAGTAAAAGTAGGCTTTGGCATTTGTGTTTGAAGTCGTCTATTTTGTAGTACAGAAAAATCCCAAATATTATTATGTAGAATAAAAATCCGAGTGTTTGTGTATTCAAAAGAACCATTGCTAAATTCAGGGGAACAACAAATCGAACGAAAAGTGACCCGTTTTTCGGCATATTCTTCCCTGTAACATTGAAAGTAAACCATAAATAAAAAAAGTCATTCTTTATGTTTTGTTTATTTGACAATTTTCTATAAAGTTACAACAACTGCGAATAAAAAAGTTTAATTTTGCAGTAACAATGGACGAAAATTAGTAGAAAATCATATGCATATTTGGAGCAATTTTTAAAATAAGTAAATATTTATAAATGTTGATGAAACTTTGTGAATAAACAGTGAAACATACGTCAACTCTACCCTAAAAATTTTGCTAGGATCGATCTCGTGGTTTTCGATTGACAGAATTGTTAATTAAGAAAATTTCAAAAAGTTTATCGCGTACCGTGGGTTTAAATTAAGGTTTAGAAAGGGCACACAATTTTTTAGAGATACTTGTTGTCATAATAAACAATGATCAATACTAAAAATACCTATTTTTACACTTTTATAACCATTTAGATTTTTTTTAATTTTTCAACATTTTATTCTATAAACAATTATTTATTGCCCAGAGAATCTTCTATGCAATCGACAAAATCTAGCACACAGTAAAACTATGTCGTAAGTTCTTGCTTTTTAGCCGAATACGACAGCATTCTACTGTGTAGATTCTGAGATATAGAAGCGTAAAGTTAATAATCTCTATTAATGAGAAGTGCGCATGCGTGAAACCTCGGAGACACATTAGTATCGGGAACATAGAGACTTAATATAGAAGTTTAAAAAATTGGGATATTCTGCCAAGCAAGGAATTTTAGTTACTAAGTCATTGTTTATTGCGGGTGTAAATTTTGTGCTTTGTACTCAATGTTTACAAGTTCTTCTTTCAAAACATTAAAATTTTATTTGATTTTTATTAACAACAAAGTTAAATGAGTACGATGCTTCCAAGATACTTAAAATATGTATGCATATTTCGAAACATCCGAGAAAAACTAAAATTTTACTTTTTTATTTTCTACCATAAAATTGAAAATATTTATAAATTTAAGTTTTAAGACATTTACATTAATGGGACACTTCGAAAGAAGAATTGATTCATGCGGCACCACAGATAGCCTTTTAGTTAAGTAATTTTTCGTTTTTATTTTTAGTCATGTGATACCTTATGGTATCAGATTTAGTGATGCATATTTTGCCATATGTTTTTCAGAGTCTATAACAGTCTAGAATGCGTGGAGCTATCAGGGAATTTTATAGATCTAGAAATATCAAATAATATTTGCTGATTTTTTATTGCATCATTATTAAGCCTAAAAATTGCATACTTTAGTAAAACGTATGTTTTTTTGTTTTAGATAATTAAAATATTCAAATTTTCTCCTTAATCAAAAATCTGTAATATCTAGATTGTCCTTATTTAGTATCTATTCATATAAGTAAAAATTAGCACAGAAGGGTTTTTCCATGCAAACATTATTATGAAAATATTTCCTATTTGGTGCAAAGTTTATGATAATCACTGAATAGTTTTTTAAATTTTCATACTTTATGAGATATTTACATGGAAGATATGGATAAAGAATTTGGAAAATGGTGATGATTGAAAAATGGGAACTGATATAGAGCTTATGTGAAAACCTGGAGATGTCACCAATTTTTTTTTTACCAAAATTTAGTATACGCCCTTGTTTTTTCCAAATATCTCAAAATTTACTCCTTTAATAATCAATATGTCAATGTTGATATAATTATTCTCAGATAAAGAGTATGTGAAAAGATAATGAAACCAAACTTGCGCTAAATTATTATTAATTGTTACTTGCATAATTTTTTTAAGCAACTTTTATATACCATACCCCTTCGTCGTCGGGAAATCGAGGTGGGCTGCGCCCAAAAAAGTCCATTACCTCCGCTTTAATTATAAATGTCCCTGAACATAATTTATTTAGCCGTCGATTTCTCCGAAATCTCAACTAGCAAATTTCCATCGATCGGCGGCGACCACTAATTGGCCGACTAATAACTGAAATTTTCATTGCAGGCCTACTAGAAGCTCATCATTGATTCCCCGGGATCGGCCCCTTTCCATGACGGAGGTTTACTGGTAAGTGTGACTGCTGAATTATTCCACACACACACGTGAAGTTAATTCCGTCCCATGAAATATGCACTCGGCCAGACAGTGGATTTCCAAATGAAAAGTCGAAGCGCGTTAATTTTTAATAGGAAATGCCCTTAAATATACACAGACGCGATTTCCAGCCCTGGAAAAAGGCGTATGTCAGCCTGATGGGCTGTAATATTTCCGGTGGGGTTCCGTATTACCGGAGCCGTTGTATGCGGCGTGTCCGGTAAGTGTCTTCCTAATCGCTCAGGAGCGTATACAGTGTAGGAAAGTACCGATGGTCTATCAGAAGTTACGTGAGAGCGATAAAGAGCAAATAAGAAGTGGATCTTATTTGTGGAAGGGCGAAATGTGCGTTGACTATTAGACGCCTTCATTATAGCCATCCTTGTCTATCACATGGATTTCTATGGCTTACTTTATCGCTCTCACGTAACTTCTGATAGACCATCGGTACTTTCCTACACTGTAGAGGAGTTCCTATACAGGGTGTTTTTAAATGTAGTAGGTACCAAAATGGTACCAATGAATGTAGAGTCAAAAATAAGAGGGTTGAAGTAAAAATACCTTATATGAAAGTTGCACCCCTGACTCGATATACCCTCTTAAAGGAGGGGATTGAAATTCACATTTTAATTTTTTTCTTTAACATGAGGAATGCTAGAAACACGAAACACGACAACCCCTTTGCAATATTTTATTAAAAAATGTTTATATGATGCAAATTATTTATTTAAAAATATTTATTGGGAAGACTGATTTATTGCGCAACTTTCTTACCTCTCGTAATTTTTCGATAAAACCTATAGTTTTCTAGTAAAAAAAATAGATGCGTCATCGTTCACTAAAGGGGTAATTGAGAACATTTGTAAAAATAAAGTAGGCGGATGTCATAACAAATTTATCATATTAATAAATTGACACTTTCTGTCAATAAGGTGGTAATTTAATAATAACATTAAAAATAATTTGCTATTAATTAATGAAAAATGTTTGATAACTTATGACTATGGGACATGTATTAGGTAAAGTTATATATCTGAAATAAATACAATACAAACGAAAAACAAGAAATGCAAAATTAAATTTAAAAAATATTCTCTAAATAATTTCCATTTTGCTGCAAGCATAACCTAATACGTCTGTTGAAGTTATAACGCACTCGTACAAACAGTTCTTGGTTATTGCGAAGGTCATCTGCTGCCTGAAATATTCTTAAGCGTAGTTCTTCTAAGGAGGCAACAGGAGTGGCATAAACAATACTTTTTATGTGTCCCCACAAAAAGAAATCCATAGACGTTAGGTCAGGTGAACATTCAGGCCAACAAACAGAGGCATCACGACCACGACCAATCCAGCGATTCGGGTAATTTAAATTTAACCATTCTCTAACGGCAAGTGTACTGTGTGCAGGTGACCCATCGTGCATATATGCCATTACCTAACGTGTAGCGAGGGGTACATCCTCAAGTAATGTTGGAAGATTTTCGTTCAAAAATCTAAGATACTCGGCCGCTTCAAGCCTGTGTGGAAGAATATAAGGACCTACTAGAGTATTTCCTACAATTCCCATCCAAACATTTAAACTGGAATTATGTTGACATCTTGAAACAAATATTTCATGAGTATTTTCTTCCGACCATGAACACGAATGAACATTATGAAGGTTTACTGCTCCTACTCTAGGAAAATTTGCTTCGTCGGTGAAAAGTATATTCATTAGGAAATGTCATGCCTGGAAATATTAATATACCATTGATAAAAATCCACGCGGTTAGGTAAATCAGGGTCATTCAATTCTTGTACGGGTTGATGACGAAAAGGGTATAAAAGATTTTCTTGAACTACATTCCATACAAGACTGTGAGAAACTTGCAGTTGCCTGGACACCTGCCTTGTGCTTATACCATAGTCTTATTCGAGATGTTCCAGTTTAGCCTCAGTTTCAACAGTTCGGACATTACGCCTTCTTCTGGCAGCCTCACGATTGGGCTGAATTTATTTGTTATGACATCCGCCTACTTTATTTTTACAAATTTTCGCAATTATCCCTTTAATGAACGATGACACATCTAATTTTTTTACTAGAAAACTAGGTTTTATCGAAAAATTACAAGAGGTAAAAAAGTCTTCCCAATAAGTATTTTTAAATAAATAATTTACTTTATAAAAAAAATTTCTAATAAAATATTGCAATGGGGTTGCCTGTTTCACTCCTTTATAAAATACGATGATCGAACAAATATTGAAAAGTTGTCTCTTTATTAGTAGGATGCTCATACCAAGTTTCGTGTCTCTAGCATTCCTCATGTTAAAGAAAAAAATTAAAATATGAATATCAATCCCCTCCTTTGAGAGGGTATATCGCCTCAGATGTGCAACTTTCATATAATGTATTTTTACTTCAATCCTCTTATTTTTGGTCGTCGAGCTCCAAAAGGGTATCTAGAGAATTACGTTGTAGGTTTTAACTTGAACGACGTAGAATATTTTGATAAAAATTAGACCGGTCTTAATTATTGCAAGTTATCCACAAACGAAGTATCCCTAGCTTAGTATTTTGTCGGATGGCGTGACATCAAACTGAAAATTTTATTTTTAGATACTCCACAGGTTTTTATTAAACGGAATTATCACTTCAATAAGTTCATAGTGTTCGCAATCAACTCAAAATTTAAGTAGAATCAGCACCTGCACTTGCTATTGATAGTCAAGAAGGATTAATTTTACAGAAATTTCAATAACAATATATTCACCGACTATCTTTAATCTTCTTTTAATATATTCTTTTATTTTTTTTTGTCACCCCACGAATAGTATTTCCCCAAACAGGTCCCTAGAGAAATTCGTCTACAAATCATTTGATAATTGTCAACTAGTCATACTCGATTGTGCATTCAGTGTATATTCAGCATGAGGGCACTGTTGCGTATCCTCAAAATCATCCTACTACCGTTACCGCATGTACATTACTAATTTTAATCTATGCTAATCGGGACTTTCGTTCGATTGTGTAACGGTCAGTAACCTCTCTTCCGTAGATCACTTGATTTTTATCTTCCGTCCGAAGAGATACTTATCTCCCAGCATTCCCCATTTTTGTCCGTTGTTAACATACGTTAACGTATGCGCTGCACTTCGAGAAAAAGCCCCGGCCAACGACCAACAGTTATCGGCGAGCGCCGTGAAGGAATTACTCCGTTCGAGCACGGCTCCCGACAGGTGTTATCGGTGCTGCGGATTTTTATTGGGGGGTAGTTTTCGCCGCAATCATGTCGGAATCGAAAAGGGAAATTACTCTGCTTTGATGTTATATTTTATGTTATAAGCAATTGCACTTCTTTGATCAATATTTTATATTTGTTTATTTTTTCATTATTCAAAAATTTAGTCAACATTTTTTAGATTTCTTTATATTATACAGGGTGTCTCACCAGGAACTGTTTCGATCGATATCTAGGAAAGTACTGCTCTGAAAAAATTGAAAATTTGGCAACATGGCAATGCCCCTGGGGCGAACACAACTAAAATATATAGAACTCTCCAGCGCTTCCGGTTATAACGGAAGTCGACTACAACTTCGTTATTTTAAATGGGACACCCTATATATTATTGGATTTTCGAATTCTACGTGAACTTTGAAGGTCACTTTATTAAATATTCCCTATATCTAGGAGTTATAGATTTTGAGATATTAATTTTTAAAGAAAAAATTTGTCTTATGCAAGGGTCCGCGGAGATGCTAGTAACTTTTTTTTCAGAAGCGTGATGTCAGGCGGATTTTTGGTGCCTGTGAAGGGCATAAGTAACGCTAAATTATGGTATGTCATCAAATTAAAACATTTAATACTAGGTGTTTCATGTTTGCTGTTACATTTTGATAACTCAAACAGCTATAACTTTGTTAACTTAAATGGAATACCCTGTATTTTTTACTCTTTCGTATGCAGAATGAAATTTCCTTTTAAACCATATAAGTATTGTTAGGGTTGTCTTACAATTTTTAGAGATACATATTTGCAATTTTCTATTATTTGGACATTTTTCTCGTATCAGACCTGTTGTCAAATTGGCCAGAAACATTCCAAAACAATTAAAATAACTTGACATTTGACAAGTTAGTTGTCAAATTATTGTTACGTCTATACTAGTTTTTGCTGAAAATTTAAATAAAAATGGCTGGTGATCGTTTAAATTTTAATTTGTTTATTATTTAGGAAAAAAAAACAGCAGATTCTCTACATATTCTTGAAATTACTTTGTCGCATTTTCCATAAATAATAAACAAATTAAAATAATCCTCATTAGTATAATTTAAACGATCCCCAGCCATTTTTATTTAAATTTTCGGCAAAAACTATTCAGAATAATTTGACAACTAACTTGACAAATGTCATGTTATTTCAATTGTTTTTGGAGTGTTTCTGGTCATGGCCAATTTGACAACAGGTCTGATACGAGAAAAACTGTCCAAAATATAGAAAATTGCGAATATCTCTAAAAGTAGTAACGACAACCCTAACAATGATTATATGGCTTGAAAGGAGATTTCATTCTGCATACTACAGAGTAAAAAAATATAGGGTATTCCATTTAAGTTAACAAAGTTATAGCTGTTTGAAATTATCAAAATGTAACAGCAAAATTGAAACACCTAGTATTAAATGTTTTAATTTGTTGGTATACCATAATGTAGTGTTACCTATGCCCTTTACAGGTACCAACAATCCACTTGATATCACGTTCCTGAAAAGAGTTACTAACATCTCCGCAAACATCTGTCAAATTTTTTCTTTAAAAATTAATATCTCAATATCTATAACTCCTAGGTATAGGAAATATTTAATAAAGTGATCCTCAAATTTAACGTAGAATACGAAAATGCAATAATATATAGGGTGTCCCATTTATAATAACGAAGTTGGTGTCGACTTCCGTTATAACCGGAAAAGCTGGAGAGTTCTAAATATTTTAGTTGT